GGCCAGGTCATTGAGTGTACTTAAGATGAGATAGATAAGTTCGTGATTTTTAAGGGGATCAAAGTTTATGGACAGAAGGCATGTCAGAAGAGAAGAATGGTGGAGCAGACTCAATGTGCTGAATGGTCTAATACCGCCCCTATGTCTTATGGTTCAGTTCCTGCGTCGGCTGAGGTTACCATTGAAAGACACTTCATCTCGACTTCCCCCCCTCACCTAAGATATGTTGCCCCTCATGATCATCACCAGTCATCTTGTGAGCAGCTCTTGATCTGGTGGGATTATGGCGACTTTACTGAGAAGGATGACTCAGGACAGTCATGAAAATTACTTTCCTCATGTTGACAAAGGGAATCCGACCACTGGAGGTTCTTTCTGACTATTGTATTGCAAAAGGAGAGTTATTACTTTGTTCTTCAAATCAAAAAGGTAATCCCATTAAGATGATGCACTCTGGTGCCAGTCAGTCACTTGCTGGCTTATAATGCTGTTTGCCTTCCAAAGGGTTTACTGAGGGAATAAATGTTGATTTGGAGGTATATGTGGAGGTTACAAACTAGTCCAATTATGCAGGTTTGCGTTAAAACATGACTTAATGACCCCCTGGAGAAGCTGTAGTTGGAGTAGTGAAATAAGTTCCTGCATTAGGAATTGATTTTATTTTGGAAAATGACCTGGTAGGTCCAAATATATTGGCCTCAAACAATCAGTCGAGATCAGATGTGTTACAGGAAGAAAATCCTGGATTGTTTACTGATGTAAACAGGAAGAAAAGGAACCTATGACACAAGGAGATGATTTGGAATTTCAGTTATTGCATACTATTGTTAAGAATTTAACTGAAAAGATGCAGGTAAAGAGAATGAGACTAATATATTTGGCCATTTTTTAATAGAAATATAGCAAATCATCCCTGAATTGAGAGTTATACAGACAACCACTTGGAATTCTTTTGAGTCAGAGCCAGTGAGCGTTATTACTTGAAAGATAAAGTACTAATGAGGAAATGGGGACCACCTCATCTACCTGTCAGTGAGAAACTCCTGGTTCTACCAGGCAGTGGTCCACCAGATGGTGGTGCCAGTCTTCTGAACGACTCTCAAAATTCTGGTGACAGGTTAGTTAGGTTTTAGGGAAACATATGCTGATGTAAGACAACAACAGGAGGACACAGTATGTCTTAACACACTGGCCCCACTGCCCTACATCGAGGACATATTGGAACTGACAACAAGACTCCTAAGGCCACTAGGAGTCATGGTAGCCCCAGCCACTTGATGACAAACACTTACAAGCATCAAAGACCCCATTCCCACAACCTTCAGAGCCAACGTGGTTTACAAAATACCATGCAACGACTGCCACAAACATTACATCAGACAGACAGGAAGGAAACTAGCAATCAGAATACATGAACGTCAACTAGCAGCAGATCAGCACAACAAACTCTCTTTAATATCGGTACACTCAGACAATGAAGGCCATCAGTTTAACTGGGACAAGATAACCATAGTAGTCCAAGCTAAACATAGACACGCATGGGAATTCCTAGAGGCATGGTTCTCCACCCGTAATGTAATCAACAAACATATAGAATTGGACCCCATATACAAATCCATACAGATCAAAATCGGAAATGACACTAATCACCATAATGGACCAGACAGTATAAGTTCCAAGCGGAGTGGAATAACATGGCTTCATCAGAAGCTCCACCGATGATATCACCTAGCATGGTGATGAAACGTCTGAACGAGAGCAAGTCGGCAATCTCGCCCACAACCCGAGCTACAGATCTTTGCCAAAACTTTAATCAGCTTGAATTATACAGAAGTGTTTAAAAGATAGCATGATATTTTATCTTCCAAAAGGTGGCTGAAATGACTTGCAAAGAGTGTTGCAAAATCGTAAACCAGTTTGTGTGACTAGGCCAATAGACTCTTCTTTGGTTGTTCATGATGTATCTTTATAAAACAGCATCCTTACAGACTCAGTCGCGAGAGATTTGCTTAAGTTTATCATAGGCAATGACATTATTTGACTAAGTCATGAGTGAATCTCATCAGTTATGATGGTGTCAAAGCTGATGGGTTATAGAGGTTCAGAAAGATATTATTGCTAAGTAAACACTAATAAAAGCAGCGTTGTATCCTATTCCATAATTTCAGGACTACCTTGAAAGAATTGCATATGCACAACACATAGCCAAAATCAACCTGCTAAAAGGATGCTAGCAGGTGCTATTGACTGAAAGTGCCAAAGGGATATCAAAGAGAGTAGGAACTGCTGATGCTGGAGAATCTGAGATAACAAGCTGTAGAGCTGGATGAGCACAGCAGGCCAAGCAGCATCAGAGGAGCAGGAAAGCTGACGTTTCGGGTCTGGATCCTT